TTCTCGAGTAGAAACTTACAGATTTATAGTAGTGAGTCCATACTTCCATACTTATATTATAAATGTGAAAGTGAGTTTTTAACCCATTCGCGTCTAAAGCACTAAACCAATTTTAAAAATTCCCCCACCAATGGAAAGCTACATTATCAGCGGCTGCTTTTCACCGCGAAAACCAACATACACGGAGCTGCAAAAGCTAATATTTTTTATAAATAGCGAAATGAAATGTTTGTATTATATACCAAAACCAAGAAATAGTTTTCAACCTCTACATACGAATCTAGATAGGTTCGGTGTACTTCAGTTGTTGTACTGAGCGATGTTACACCGACACGACGATGGATTGATAGACGCCCTAGTATCCGTACTGTTTCTATTTTAAAACATCGTCAACATAGCTTATTGAGTTTTTGTGTACGATATAAGCCACAAACGAGCAGTTAGTTAGTTATTATTATATAGATAGTTATTATTGTGGGTCTACCACGACAATAGTTATAGATAAATAATAATAATATTTCGGACATCTAACACGCAACGCCTTCTAGTTTCAGACTAGCATAGCTTGTATTATGAAAGCTAGATTGACTGATAGAATACTTATAATTTTTTTTGAATCCACATACATAATATACATAGAAAACACCCAAATTCTAAAACAAATATTTGCAGATTATAAAAACATTGAATGCGACCTGGGATTCAAACCCGAAACCTCAGTACAGCAATTAGATACATTTAAAAATCAAATGATCTTTTTCGATAAAATAAACTAGGTAGTAATGAGTTATGTAAATTAAAGAATATAAGGGTGTTTTCATAAATCAAACTTTAAACAAAAGTTATTTTGCTGCGATTTTTACTATAACTGCATTTCTTAATAAACCACCTTTTATCTTCAAGTTATTCCAAATTACATTATTCCCTTATTCGTAAAAACTTGGGCATTAATATATAAATAAAACCAATTATATACCAACTATGTCCTGCACTGAACTATTAAAGGCTGTTGATGTGATGTGTTATACCAACTATTTAAGAAAATCACTCCAGGCGCACCAGTTATGACTCTAATTTAAAATAGCATTTTAGTATTTAAATTGCGATCATTATTGTTGTAATAAGCATATCAAAAGATAGTTTTTGTACCTATCGTATGTTAATATATCATCGTCCTTAAACTTTATAATTCTAGTAGGTTTAACTTGTAGCATTGGCATTGAGTGCAGTGTTCGCTAGTACGTAATACTCGTAGTTTACCAGGGCAACGTTAATAAAACCTTTCCATCACTTACGATAGAAATTAGACGAGAAAGTTGTCAGTCAACCATCTTAACTCTGACATTTCAAATTCATCACTTGCCCTGTTTGCTAAACGTGTTTATACTCGTATAGTTCGGTCTCTTTTTGATTTTAGGCAGTCAACATTCAATGTTTGGCACTCATTCTTAATACTCACCATTCACTATTATACAAATCTTATTACAGTATACAAAATTAGTTTTTAAAGAGTAACTATGTGCGTTGCAACAGGACTATCATTTATTTAAAAACATTTCGACGACATACAGTTTAAGACCATACTAATATTATATAGGTAAAGTTTGCGAGTTCTGTGTGTTCGAGTATAAACTACTGGTTCAATTTGAAAAATTATTTTAGTGTTGGATGGCTCTTTTATAGAGGAAAGATATAGGCTATATAAAATCATACTACGGTCAATAGGAGCTGAGTTTCAATGAAAAATGTTGCGAAATCGGGGCAAATTTATTCCTTTTGAGAGAAGCAGATGAAGCTGCGCAGGTCAGCTAGTTATTTATAAATCCAATCAATTAGTAAGTTAAATCAGTTGGTAAGCTATAGCTTAGGTGATGCAAAATACGTATATTTGCAAATTGATCAGTCATTTATGTCAGTCAAAGTCAGTCAAACATTTCTTCTTCTTCTTCTTTAGCCTTAATCGACCAAATATTTGGTGTAGGCCTCCTTTAATCCTCTCCACTTTCCTCTGTCTTGGGCAATTAGGATCCAGTTGCTGCCCGCCACTTTTTTGATGTCATCCTTCCATCTCATCTGTGGTCGCCCTCGAGGTCTTTTCTGGTCCCATGGTCTCCATTCTAACACTCTTTTACACCAAGAGTTTTGCTTTCTTGCTACATGACCAGCCCTCTCCCACTTCAACTTTACTACCCTTTCTACAACGTCTGATACTTTGCTCTGTTTACGAAGCCACGTATTGGTCTTTCTGTCCCTCAATGTCACACCCACCATTTTTCTTTCCATTGCCCTTAGCGCTACTACCCAAGTTTCAGCGCCGTATGTAAGGACTGGTAGTATGCATTGGTCAAAGATCTGAGCCTTTTGTTGTGCTGACAGGTTCATTTTGAATACAAAATTGAGTTTGGAGTAGGCTGCCCATCCCAGTCTGATCCTTCGGTTAATCTCATTCTCCTGGTTCTCTTTTCCCATTTTAATTTCCTGTCCTAGATACACGTACTTGCAAACTCGTTCAATTACTGTCCTATCCACTAATATTTCCGCCGTATCCTCCGATTCTGTGGTCATCACTTTGGTGTTATCGAGATTCATTTCTAGACCTACTTCAGAGGATACCACGTGTAGTTCCTGTATCATGCACTGGAGATCTTGTGGCGTGTCAGCAAATAGGACGATGTCATCTGCATATCTTAAGTTTGTTAGACGTGTACCCATTACAGAGATGCCCTTATCCTGCTAGTTTAGTTTTTTAAATAGGTCCTCGATAACCAGGGTGAAGAGTTTCGGAGACAGGGAATCGCCTTGTCTTACGCCCCTTCTGATTTTTATGGGCCTAGTAGATTGCGGAATTGATACCTTCATAGTTGCGTTTTTGTAGATCTCAGCTATTAGATGATTGTATCTGTTGTCTACTCTTGCGTTTCTTAACGATCCTTGTACCGCCCAAGCCTCTACGGTATCGAACGTAGAACATATATGTTTTGTAGTCAACGAACGCAAACCATAAGGGCATTTGGTATTCTGTGGCTTTTTCAATGAGCATTTGCATGGTTAGGATATGGTCTACTGTCCTGTACCCGCGCCTAAAACCGGCTTGCTCTTCCGGCTGGTAGAAGTCAAGTTTGCTGGTGATTCTTGTAGTAAGTATTTTCGAGAGCAATTCATATGTTTGTGATAGTAAACTTATTGGTCTATAGTTGTACAGGTCGGCTTTACATCCTTTTTTAAATAAAATTGTGACCATTGCGCTGTTCCATTGTTCCGGAATTTTACCCAGTCAGGGTCAACAAACTAACGAGAGAAAGGAGGGATCAATAAGGCAATTATTTTTGGTTTATTGGTTTAGTGACCCACAGGAGAGGCGGAATCACTTAGGGTTGGTACCGGATGAGCCACACATATGGCCAACGGTAGCGCCCAGAATCCTAGTTATATGGATTACTCTTCACACTCACTAAGACGTCCTAGGCAAGCGAGTGAGTTAACTTTTTTTTTTTTTTTTTTTTTTACGTGTGGAAATCCCCTCGGACCGTCACCCCGCCGGGGCTCTCGTTCGGCGGGGCGGTGTGTCGGACTCGAACCGACTAAAACCACACGGTGTGCCCTCTTTGCGCTTCCAGTTTAGGAGGGGTCCAGGTAGCTATCTCCTTCTGGACCCCTCCCAGCGCCGGCCCGCTCCTAAAGCGGGCTCCGTCTCAGTGGACCCTCTCTTTAGGCGGCGTCCGGCACACGCGGACGCCGCCCCCTCGCGGCTGGCCAACTAATGCGGGTGGAGGGGAGAACCCATCCCGTCCACCCGCGGCCACACTCAGGGCGGCATGAGGCGCAGGTGAGCGCGCCTCAAGCGAGTGAGTTAACTGCCTAAACCCTTTAATCCTAATTATGATACGAAATAAGCCAAGGCCCCGAGTTCCCAGGGGACAGGCAGAACCCAGCAAGGACAGCAGCGTGGGTACCGGCCTGGCCAGGGGTGCGAAGAATCTCTGGGAGTCAAAAAGCTGTCAGCGCAAACAATTAAAGAATTATTAATCTTAGTAGTTATAATTAAGGATTAATTATGTTTTATTAACCGTGGTGGTCACTATTAACAACTAGTTTATTGTTAAATATAAATGTAGTACTTTAAAACTGTACACGATCGCTATATCTAGAATTGAATGCCCATACTTGCCATTATTGCGCATCATCGCATCGAAAACTAAATCAATCTTAACATGTTTCAAGTCAAGGCTTTAACCTTGCTGGTTCCATTCAATAATTGGATTACTGGCAACTAAAGAGATTAGCCTTGCTGCGTGCAACACACCCCATTGTAATCTAATAAAAAATGTTACTGCTACTATTTCCTTGTGAAGATTTACATAATAATATAGTCTTATTTACGTTTTTGAATTTCACCTACTACTGAATGCAGAAATTATACAATCAACAAAATTACGAAAAACTCATTTACTTGTAAGTAGTTGTGAAGAAAATATCTAATCATTTCTAGTACGTTGCATGTACGAATAATCAACAGAATTTATTAGTTCACTGGTGAATTAGAAAGAAGTTTTTTGAGCTGCTATACCACCCTGGCCAGACGGGTTGGTATAGGGTTTTTGTTAAGTTTTCCTTCTCTTTGTCGGCTCTTACGTCACCCATGGGATGAATAGGGGTGGTGACACTGTATTCTTAATCCGTCACCATACGGAAGTATGCATGAATAATAATAAAAATTTTAGAAAAGATACATTTTCAACAGTTAATCATCAGTACTTTAATTTTCGGTTTTTGGAACAAAGTTCCTTATCGCGCGCTACACGCTCTAAGCGAATGGGAGCAAGACCGAAAAATGTGTAACAAGGTCTTTATCCCACACTTTAGTTGGCGCGTCGACGCTCAAATATTTTTCATATATATAGTAAACGTCTACCATCTACTTTTCATCGTGATAACCTGTCATTTACATGGGCGGAGTAGCGAGCTAAAACTAGTAGATAATATTCTGATCAAACTTAATAATGGATTCTAGATATCTCCACAAGCACATACAGTCAAAAGTGGTAGTATATTGGAAATTGGAGAAGTATGTTTCCTTGCAAACTGTTTTATTTGCTAATTCATATCCGACATACAAATATCTATATTTTATTAGCTGGTAGCTTTTGCCCGTGGCTCCACCCGCGTGTATATCGTTTATTGCGGTAAAAAGTAGCCTATTCCGTCCTTATCAAGGTATCTCCATGCTAAATTGGCCGCGAAAGCGTAACAGACAAACAGAGTTTTTTTCGCATATATAATATTAGCATTCACAAAGTGGATAACATTTAACTAAAATCAAATCATAGTAAATATTTTTTATCGAAAACATGCAAAAATTGATCAGCAGATCTTAAATGGAAGAAAGCCTGTGACACAATATTTCATGTTGCAATTAATACGTTTTAAATTTTATCATTCTGACTAAATTTTTTAATGTAGATCAATTTGAAAACGTTTATTGATGTTTTGTATTAAAAGCGGGAATTCCACCAAGTGGCAAGTTGTGGCATCTTGCCAAGGCGAACCACTTAAGTGTCAAGTCGGCGCAATTTCAAACTTGGCAATGCCAAGACTTCAAAGCTTTGATGCAGTAAAGGAAATGATATAAAGAGAATATTTATCGAACGTTTTCTCGCAACTAGAGCAAAAGGAAGTCGAGATTCCTTCGAACTAGATTTTTAAAGGTTATTTTCTTTGCTTCACTTGTAACTTTTTAGATTATTCTATTTGATTTGAATGTTGTAACTATTAACTGTAAAAGTAAGTAGGTAGTTATTACAATTATTAACTTTATAACATGTGGAGCAAACTTCAGTATTAGTGATAAATAGACCATTTCTATTGGAAATACTCAGGCAATAATCTGATGAGTTTCTATTTCATTTTTGCTCTAAAAAAGAAGATTATTTAAATTCCTGGATCGTAATTTTTTAAGAGTATTATTGCTGAAAATGTATAGAAAACAAATTTCCAGTCGAATTTTGGTATAACTCAATCGTTATGGACTTGTTTTCTTTTGAAACTAATATGAATTGCAGTAAGACACATCGCTGGACATCGGATTAGTGAGTCTTATCATGTATTTTGATACCTACAAGTCTACTACAATTCGTATCCATGACTTTTGTTAATAACGTGTTTAAACACACTCTTCAGTTAGTGTGACTAAAATACAAATTCCATCTCATAAAAAGTAATGAGAACCCTCATATTAGGAGGAAAAGTATAGGCGTCGGGCATAAAACCAGACCGCGAATGAAGTCATCCTTCTTTTCTATGTATTTCTATAAAATAAATATATTATCCGGGCCTCCGGCAGCCTACTTACTCGGTGAAAGCAACAAAAGAATTGTTTAACACCGGTTTTCTGTAAAGCTGTGAAATCACTCCATTCCATAATACCATTGCAAACATGCTTCAATACTATAATTTTCTCCTGAAATCTACCTCTAACTGTGATTTAATCTGTTTTATCTTCTGAATCTAGATCATAATACAGTAATCAGAATAGTTGAGTATCTAAAAATACATTTACAAAACTTGTAAACAAATATATCTAAACCACAACCTGACATTAAGTCACCCAAGGCTAGACACATAAATTGCACTTTATTTACTCCCAAAACTGTGTAAATATTACATTACCTGGAACCTGCCCAGGCATTACCTAATCCATATTTGCAAACATTCTCATCGCATGAAGAATAACTAAAGTATGATGTCATTAAGTATAGAAGACGATAACAATTATGGGGTGTAGGATTTCTTAACAGTTCCTTGAGAATACTAATAAGTTTAGTGATTTTTTGTCGAGACTATTAATTTTCTTAGTACTAAAAATAAAATTAAATGTTTTATTACCATAATAAACGCTAATAGGTTATGAATTTGATATTCATTAAACATCATGATGCCGTAACTTTACTTGACTGGTCCAAAATACTTTCATCTAAAAACATCACGTTCTTTAAAATGATACTAGTTGCTTTAAAGGCGTATAAATTTGATGTTTTAATATAACTCTCACAACAAACGCAAATCCGTTAATTCAGCTTATACCATTTTTCTTATTTTCACGAGTGGAAAGAAAGTGCTACAATGGAGTGGTTGATAACGTCAGAATTTAACTGAAACGAGTAAATAGGATGAGTGTTTCCAATAAATTGAAAAAATCTGAATTAAAGATAAAATTAACAGTCGATTGTTATCGATGATGGATCGACTGTTAATTTTATCTTTAATACAGATTTTTTCTAAATCCTAAGAATAACCTATTTTGTCCGTTACCAGCAATGGGATGGTACCATTCGGAACCTTTATAACTATTTCCGCACAAATCCATTGACAGTGGCTTATCTAAATATCTAAAAATGTTAAGTTGTTTTGTATACGCTTCAGAAACTCGAAAAATTCTGCACCGATTGAGCTCTAATTTTGATACGAAATACAATCCGCTTTGAAGATTGTTTTTATCTATTTATCGCGTCAGGTTCCTTAATTTCTCATCAATTCAACCATGTGCCACAGCGAAACTTGGCAGGGTACCGCTAGTTTGTTATAAAGATTAATTATTAGCCTGAATAGATTACACGAATGACGTAGTGGTCACCTCCACGCTTTCTACTGCGCTGAGTGTTATGGGTTCGATCCCCACATGGGACAACACTTTGTTCGATCCACAAATTGTTATTCTCAGTCTAAATGATCTTTGTGATCGTTTCATGAATGTGTGGAAAGTTTCCCGAGACACTTTATTGACATTGACACGTTGTCTAAAAATCTTTCTGTCAATCACGATCACACTTCCAAAAGCATCCTAATTTAATATGAAACCTGTCTTATTTTTTAATTGACTAGATTTTTTTGGTTTTTTTAATTAATTTAGAACTAAATTTTTGTTTTTGTCCATTCAAGGTAGTGTTGGTGTTCATCCTGAGTATAGCATCGCTCATCATTTACTTCATTGACGCGTCCAGGTAAAACAACTTTCATTATTTTTTAGTAAATTACACCTGAAACTTGGCAGACGAACTTGAGCATACTTTCCCCAAAATAAATAATCAAAACACGAATGAAATGCGGTTATAGATCGCAGTTCTTCAATGCCAAGTTACACGTGTAAAGCTCTTAATAATTGCATTGCTACGATAAATATTAACTAATAACTAATCTTAATAATGCTGAATTGAAGGAATACGTGAGTCAAACTCATAATAAATGTGTTCGAAACTGTTTGCTGGTTATACCTAGTAATACATGGTGGGGACAATTTTGCGAGTAATAACTGCGTCCCTATCATCACTCGATCTTCTTCAATTTTTTACATTTGCCCTTAAGTCAAATATAAGAGCATCATTTATAATATCTGTAATCAATCACATCCAATATTTGTTGTTAAGTCTCATCAATCTGTAAAGTCAATTTAAAGAGATTTTAATCGCAAAATTGTCCTCATTCTGTATATATGTTTAGCTTTTGTTTCAATGTCAGCTGTGAGATATACCTTAGAGAGATGGCTTTAAGTGAAACTGTTCATGATTGTTCACACCTCTTCCTATTTGTTCTATTTGTTTACAAACGTGTTTGTTTGCAGTGAAGAGGTTGAGAGATGCCAGAAATGGAGCGACAATATTACTCAGCAAATCGACCTTGCCTTTAACATATTTTTTATGGTCTACTTTTTTATACGAGTAAGTATTTCATTTACACCCACCTGAAGAAAAGGTTTAGAAACAACACATATATAAAAATAAAAAGGAATTTCGACAACAATAGCATCTTGATAAAATGATTGTTTTGAATTATTACTGGCATCTGGTAATCCATGCAAACAAAAACACATAATGGTCTTTGACCGTTATTCAGGGAATAATTACTGCCGATTTGTCACAGTCTATTTCCGATTAAAGAAAAGTAAAATAAAAATTAAATGGAGGACAGCACAAGCGGGAAGATAAATAAGTAGGTTAGCCATTTTGATATTTAATAATACCAAAATGTCAATTTACAAATTATATATTTATCTAAAATTATGGCGATAAAACCTGCCATAAAATATTAACGAGGAGAGATCGAGGCTGCTTCTTCTCACCAGCGTTTGTTCGAAGCACTGTTACTTCCAGAACATCCTGTGACTTTTAAACCTTACAGAGAAAGCCTTGAGAAAGAGAATCTGCTGCAAAAGTAAGTACATTACTAAACGCAACATAGGCACTTCAAAGGCGAGTACTCGTGGTATTTATTAAGTAGGATAGAGTAACAATTCTCCGTCAGATCCATAGTCGGAATCATGCGTCGCAAGTTTCCGAGGAAGTATTCTATACTGTATGAAAAGGGAATTCGGTTCATTAACTGACAAGCTTTAGTTGAAGAGCGTGTTCCTAGGGCCTGTAACGTTATTATGGCCATGGAATCGATTTCTGCATTTTCCATGCTAGGGATGCATAGCAACAGACATAAGGTAAGGATGTTTGGTATCGAGATTAGACGGTTCATGTCTATTGTCTTCGTAGTCCCCTCGACGAACATTGTAAGGTTTTAGTCTATTCACGAGTAATGCAATGACTATAGTTTTTTTTTATAATGACAAATATCTAAGACATATTGTCATAATTATGTGTTCGTGTTTCTGTTTCAGTTTATAGCAGCTAGTGACAAACTATGGTTCATGCTCGAGATGTATTCATTTGTAGATTATTTCACGATACCCCCATCCTTTGTATCAATATACCTGGATAGGACGTGGATAGGTAAGTGTTCACTTTTATTTCCCTACATTTAATACGAATTAAAGAAATATCGAGCAGATAAGTTTAAAACATTAAAAAACTTCTGAACATTCTCAATTCAAATAGTTTAACTACGAGTCGTAAAATTAACTAACTAGAAATTACGGTGCAGTCATTACTTATAGGATAGTAGTTAAAATGGAAGCTAAAACTTTTCTAAGTAATTGCTTTGGTATATTGATTACTGAATCTGATCAGATAATGCTACTGATGATACATGATAGGCCTGTAATCTTTGTGAAATTCGCTTTTTTCATGTTTATCTTTTAATGTTCCAGGGCTGAGATTTCTCAGAGCTCTACGCTTAATGACCGTGCCTGATATTTTGCAATACCTCAATATACTAAAGACATCGAGCTCAATTCGGTTGGCGCAATTAGTTTCTATATTTATATCAGTATGGTTGACCGCGGCTGGCATTATTCATTTGGTAAGTGTTCCATCAATCATTTTACAATCTTAAGGGCTGTGTGTGTGTATTATAAGAGTATTTCAAATACAGTGATCACAAACGCCTCATTATTTGATTATTTATTAACATAAAATTAGAATCATTAGTGCCTCATATTATTATAATCAAATGAAATTGACATTATATATCCATGTGAGATGTGACAAGAGGAAGTTTGAAAAAACTATTGACAAAGGCTTCAAAAGTCCACCCTCTCCCCCATACATTTTCTGATCTATTTTCGAAGCTTCTCAACTTTTGTGGCCCAGGGCTTTTTTCATTATATGGATATGTCTCTTTTGTTTACACTGACTTGTTCGTCATAGAAATATAATCTGCATGTTGTAAGTGTTAGGATTTGTACTAGGCATGCCTTTTAAGTTCTGTCGTTTCCATATTTCCCTGCAATTTTGAATTTGGAACTGTTCTATATTCGAATGTGTTTAAATTTTAAATCTCAAAACAGTTGAAAGTATTAGGATTATTGCTATTGTTTAGTCACAGCGTCAATTGGGATCTGTCAGGTTACGTACGAAAATGAATCTTTTCAAGGAATATGTTCGTGCAATAATTTTCTACAACTTTAGAAGAGGCCTGACACGGCTTCAGTGTTTTGAATAGCTAACATCTGTGTTCAGTGATGAAGCCCCATGTCTGCGGACTGTCGAACGCTGGTATTTAGAATTCCAGCGTGGACATACTAGTGTTAGTGACAAACCTCGCGAAGAACGCCTAAAATCCGCCTTCACTGAAGATAACATCATTGCTGTGAGACAACTAATTTTCGAAGATCGTCATGTGACGTATCGAGAGATAGAGGCTCTATTAAGCATCTCAGGGACAACCATTCAGAAGATCTTGCATAAAGCGCTTAGGGCTAGTTTGCCGTTGGATACCGCATCTGCTTTCCGACGATCACAAGGCGGCCCGCGTCAGATAGTGTAAGAAAACTCTTCAAAGGTTCAACCGAGGAGAGTCAAATCACGTCTACGACATCATCAGTGGTGACGAATCTTGGATCTATGCCTACGATCCTGATTCCAAACAACAATCTACAATCTGGGTCTTTCAAGACGAGCCAAAGCCGACTAAAGTTGTTTGTTCTCGAAGCACTTCAAAGAAGATGGTGGCCACGTTTGTTGGAAAAAACCGGCCATGTTGCGACTATTGCACTTGAATATCGTAGAACGGTTAACGCAGAGTGGTATACCACAAGTCATCGCCGAACTTCGAAAATCTAACTCAAAGCGACGCATCATCCTGCACCACGACAACGCAAGCTCACACAGCGCTCGTCAAACGGGTATTTGAGTATTTAAAGCAGGAAAAAGTAGAAATTCTTCACCATCCTCCATACAGTCCTCTTTTTTTACGTGTGGAAATCCCCTCGGACCGTCACCCCGCCGGGATTCTCTATTCGGCGGGGCGGTGTGTCGGACTCGAACCGACTAAAACCACACGGTGTGCCCTCTTTGCGCTTCTTTTTTGAGAGGAGTCCAGGTAGTTATCGCCTTCTGGACCCCTCCCAGCGCCGGCCCGCTCCTGGTGCGGGCTTCGTCTCAAAAGTATCCTCTCTTTAGGCGACGTCCGGCACACGCTTACCCCGCCCCCTCGCGGCTAACCAAACTATTGCGGGTGGAGGGGAAAACCCATCCCGTCCACCCCCATACAGTCCTGACCTAAGCCCTAACGATTTCTTTACATTTCCTAAAATGAGGAAAGTCTTCGTGGTCAAAGGTTCCAGTTACGTGAAGAAGCAGTCGACGCTTTTAGGTCAGCCATTTTCAACACACCCCCACTTTAGAGTAGAATAAATGTTATAATAACTGGTTTGAGCGAATGGAAAAGTGTATTAAGCTACGTGATGAATACTTTTAAAAACAATAAAAAGTACTATAAGGTTCTAGTTGTGTTTTTTCTTCAAACGACAAAACTTAAAAGGCATGCCTCGTAGTTACAAGCTTGTAATAAAATTACTGTTTGTATGCATTCCAGCTGGAAAACTCCGGTGACCCTCTGGATTTTGATAACTCTCAGAAGCTCTCATACTGGACGTGTGTGTACTTTCTCATAGTCACCATGTCCACTGTAGGTTACGGTGATGTGTTTTGTCATACAGTACTTGGCAGAACATTTTTGGTTTTTTTTCTCCTCGTCGGCTTGGTAAGTTTCACTTTTAATTGTTTTATATATCTCTTTTGTATATTAATGAAATGGAATTTAAATTCATATATATAAGGACCAATATTTGCAAGGAGAGGCAAGTTAATTTCTGTTTATACGCTTAATTTCTCAAATGGCGTTCAACCCCACTGAGTTCTTCAACTCACCTTAATTTAAAGCTATTTATTGATTATGATTACTTATGGCGGTCGTCTTTCACGCTTGCAATTCCTTGCATAAAACAGAAATATTAACAAAGCAAAAGGAAATATAACAAACATTTACCGTTGAAGATTACATTATAGTTGACGAGGGACTTGCTAGACAAGTGGTATATCGCACAGCTCGTGAATGATTGTAAGCCTGATTAGTGCACCATCTATAGATAGCATGACCGTTATGTACCAAGAAGCTCGGGTGACGCCGAGCGGCGCCCCGCCCGGCGCCCGGCCGGCTGCGGTGCCTGGAGCCATCAATGTGCAATCTTCTAACTTCTCGGCAGCTTCAAAAAAGCCATCTTTCAACTATTGCCAGCACTTAAAACGCTTTGTTTTGAGCGGATGCATGGATGTATTTTATTTTTCTTTTGCTTTGTTTCGTGATACTCACCACGAATGTGCTGCCGGAGGATCTGTCGCACCGTGCTTAGAATATCGAGTATACTGGGGACTATGGTACGAGACGAGATATGTAGGTGCGCGCGTCCACACGGAGGCGCCCGGCGCCCAGCCCGGCGAGCCCGGTGCCGCGTCCCACCCCTCCCACCTCGCGATCTCTGCATGCCGCACCTGTGCCTGGCTGTGTTCAGTTGCTCACATCACCGGTAGACACACACTCGTTCCTTTTATTTTTATTTTTGCTCCGCTACCGGCTACACTTTACGACTCAGCGTCACCATAGAATGTATATCGAGACTCGAGGTGGACATTGTCGTGCACCACGCGATGGTGTCCGCGTGCACCCAGACTCGATGTTCGATCGACACCGTGGTCTGTTGCAGGCAATGTTCGCTAGTAGCATTCCCGAAATTATAGAGCTGGTAGGAAGTAGGTCCAAGTACAGTGGCGAGCTGAAGCGTGAACATGGAAAAAGGTATTAGTTTGATAATATAAATTAATCGTCGAAAGTGAAGGCGATTCACCTCGTGGTGTGGCGACAATCCGCGCGCCAGGCTCGGTCTGAATCGCCCGAGCTCTCAGGACGATGTGAATCATCACCTATAAGAAAGCTTGCTCAGTGCCGTCAGATGTATTGTGTCATCTACTCGTGTTCACTCGCCTGCCCATCGGCAGATAGCGGGCGTCACTTCACCTCTGCGTCATACTGCATTAAGGTGCTTTTGCGTGGCGTTGAAATGAGGTGTTGCCCAGCCATCGATCGATTCGGCCGGCCCGTGCTCGCGCTCTACCAAGCGTCTATATCGAATGCCCAGTTTTTTTTAGTTTAGGTACCGGTCAAACCGATTTCTTTTTAAGTTCTGTTCATCGATTAGTTAGCGTATGTATCCTTAGGCTTTGCATGCACCCGGTCACGAGTCCCGTCACGGCTTGCGCCGGTCACAGCTCCCGCCGCTAGCGTAGCTCGGCACGGCACCCAAGTCCCGCACACCCACACCACAGCCACAGCCACCACGCAGACAGACGACACTCAAGCCACACAGCCTTGTGCGAGCGCGAGGGTACGCGGCCACGGGCCGGGCGGGGCGGGGCGGGCGCGCGGGGGGCACGGGTTCGGCTACTCACCTCACGGTGTTTGCTGTGTATCGTAGGCTGTGTTCGCCAGCTGGATCCCCGAGATCACGGAACTGGCGGCGCAGCGGAACAAATACGGCGGCCGGTACAACAAGGACGTCCGCCGCAGGTACCCTGCTCTCACGCCCCCGCTCCATGCGGCTTCCTGCCTTCCTACCTCTCACGGTTTCGATCTTGGTTGATTGAATGCGGAGTTTGCTAATGAAATTTATTAATCCTTCACTAGAATCGGTCTCTCGGTGCCGTGGCGCATGCTCGAAGAGTTAGCTCCCGGCGGCCGCGCCCCTCTCCCCGAACTAGAGAGACAGGCGCGCGGTCGACCGACGCACTACTACATGCCTTTTTTTCGTAAATTTTACTCGAGATACCGTTGAGCTTTTTAATCCTTCTAACGAGACTAGATCTGGAGAGAGCCGATGTAAAGTTTTGTAATGCTGTCGATGACGTAGTGTTTGGTTTGTTCGCTTGCACACGATGCCTGTCGCCACGCTGTAGCGCTAGCTCCGGCACCTCGCCATGAGTCCCGACGATCACACACAGCCAGTGCCCGCGCCGCCCCGCCCCGCGGAGACCGAGCGTGCCCGCCGCGCCGCGCTCGCCCTACACCGAATTACTAACGTTACTAATGTCACTAACCGCCCGCCGGCCGCCCACAGAGAGGAGCTGTTGCCGGAAACGAGCCGCCGGCCCGGACCGGCCCGCACCTGACCGGTCCGTGTGCCCGCAGCTCGCTTCCCCCGGCTCCGCCACTCACCGGTCGATTGAATGTGAATATCTTGTTTTGTCTGTCGGCGTTTAGGCGATATTTGCCAGTTGTATCCCAGAGATAATTGACTTAATCGGGACTAGACCCAAGTATGGCGGCACCCTCAAGAATGAGCGGGGACGCAGGTGAGCCGCTGTCTTCACTCCGATCCGTTGAATGTGTTCCGTGTTGTGACATCTATTCTTCCTTTTCCTCTCTTAGCACGCTTCTGTGTTCTCACTTATCTTGGCGGGACGCAAGTCCCGTAAGTTGTCTTTGTTTTTATGAGTCGATATATTGATTGTAAATTATCTTTGAATTGATTTGAGTTCAGTTGAATAGTGAACAGCAGATAGTGGCTAGTGTTATCGCTCGTCATTATAGGTATCATGATTATGTTCTGTTAGTATACGTACGTAAAGTAAAGGAATGTTAAACGTAAAGCTTAGTTACGAAGAGTTAAATGTTGAGTGGTACCGTACCGTAGTGCGTTGTTGGAGTTCTGGTGTGCGATGCGATGCAAGGCGTCGACAGCTCCTTTCTGTGGGCGCGGCTCGCGGCCTGGCCGGCCGGCCCGCGGGGGGCGCTGTTGATGCGAGCGTTCCACCTTTAACAACCCCCTTAACCCCCCACCGACCATCCCTCCTTGCCCGGCACGTAGTGCGTGCCAGCGCAGTCCGCTCGCCGCCCCCTGCCTCCCCCCCACCCGTCCGCTCCAACTGTACTCCTCTGCCTGCACGACTACTTACTGTTACTGTACTTGTACTCTTAATGTTGACCCTCTTAATGTTTTATGATCTGTAATGTAATTTTGGATCGACCCCCTCGGTATTTTTAGTGTAATGTATTTACGTTAATATAATTCATAGAGCGTGGCAAGGCTGTGTGCATTGAGGACATTTTAACGCAAAATTAGTTTAGTTTTTATCGACATATCATTTGACATAATCAACATCATTTAGCAGTGATACACCAATCATTTTTATAAAAAAAATTGGATTGATTTTGAAAATTGTTTACAATGTTAATGGAACTTTGTTACAAATACAAGGTAGACAAAATTAATTGTTGTTTTTTATGAATAAAAATGAAATCAGTTCTTTGCCACACCTTAGAGAATAATATTAGTTCTTGCATGTCTTAAGTAGATGAGCTGTTTGCATTTAAGTTTAACTTTCCTACTGTTCTAAACTGATGTGATTTATGTTTCTGATTGCTACACCTCCTGTTTTATTTTATGTTTTAACAACATTAACTTCATCACTATACGACTGTCGACTGTCACATTTCAAAGAAATATTTACATAACAATGTCTATACGAACTTAATAAGAAGACTAAGCCAAGACATGATACATAGAATACGCTCCTTGAATACATAACTGTACTGAGACGCAAGCTTTTACGTGTTGATACAGGAGTTTTACCTATACACAGTAAATACACCTTATAGATATGGACAGTACGTAGAGGAATGCATATAGAATTTTATATATTTATTATATAAAGTGAAACACAAGCAATATACATCTCTACTTATTATCACATATGTATGACCTTGATTTGGATAATATTTCAATTGTATTGTATCTATGTAAATATTGAATTATTTTTATGTATTTATTTTACTGTGTGTAGATAAAAATAAGATACATTTTGTGTTCCTTTATCACAGCACAAACGTATTATCCATGCAATGTATGCTATATACAAGTATTTAATGTTGTATGACCCCTGAAGACATTTTAATGTCCTGCAAGTGACCCCGTAGGACCCCTTCCCATAGTCGTCGTTTATTTTTTTATTTTTTTTACTAGTCTAGTAGATAGTTACACAAATCCTGAACGAAACTGAGCTTTCTAGAATTTATGTTCATTTATTTGTGGATGTAAAAAAAGAATATTTTATTAGTTAAGGTTTAATTGAAAATTGAACTGAAGTTTGATTTTATTGAAACAGTTCATGTTTTTATTGAATAATTTTGACCAGAAATCAATGAACGTAGTAGTCAATAGAGGTTTTCTTTTATCCGAACCACGTCATTGTTTTATCAAAAAAAGAAAACGTTAGTTTTTCTTCCCCCCTTTTTTTTCATTGGCTTTTGAAACAAAGGCGTGGTTGGTATAAATATGGCATTATCTTCACGCTTCTATCACTAATTGTTTTGTTTAACCCTGTCGTGACCTGTTTCTTTAAATTTTAGCAATTTACTTCCATCTGGTCCCAGGTGTTAAATAAAACTTCAAATTGCTGTTTCTTCTGTCTTTTTCTACTCTATGATAAGCTTATTAAAAACATGCTTTAAAAAAAACTGAAGGCTATATTAAAATTTTAACAATTTTAAAGTTTGAAGGCCACGAAGCTTTGCAAATACACGTTTACACAAATAAACTAATGATTTTCAAAATTTGATAAAATGCTTTCACAAGTTTTCTGAGAATATGCTTCTAAGGCTTCTTTGGTTTTTTTCCAAATGCAAATTACGTTTGTAGATGCACCTTGCTTGCTACTGTTTTACTCGAAGTTATAATAAATGTTCACGTTTTCAGGCATATAGTTGTATGTGGTCACATAACTTACGAATCAGTGAGCCATTTTTTAAAAGACTTCCTACATGAAGACCGAGAGGATGTAGACGTCGAAGTTGTTTTTTTACACAGGTCTGTATGACTAGTTGTTAAGTAAATGAGAAAATAGTTCTTTCGGCAATTCAATTCATTAAATGAATCAGCAAGATTTTAAATCATAAACTTATCCATCATGTAAGGGTCTAAATATTCATTTAGAAAGATATTATTAATAGATAATCTGATTTTAGTAGTGTGGACCTCGCTCCATAATACGAGTAGAGTACATAATTAAGGTGAAAGACAGAATTCATATATAAACATTTTAAATCAACTTCAAATGTGGCAAAATAGTGTTAGAAAAGGTAATCGAAAACCATAAAACACATTTTGTAACTTCAAGTGCCAGTAAGAAGTTTCAGTTTCAAGTAAGTCAAGTACTTCATCAGTAAAAACTTAGTTTACAAAACTTAAATTTCTTAATTAAATTGTTTAGTAATTGTAAAAGAAAATCGATCAAAAGAGCAAATTATCACTCATTGAGTACAAAAATTAACAAAATTTACCAAGATGTTGCAATCCACTGAGGATATAACCGTGTTATGGTGTGAAGTAAATAAATCCGCGCAAACCTTTGCGTGGGTCACTGACACTTTAAGGCGGTGTGTCATGTATGATCCAACGACGCTTTCAGAAAAGAGCCCGATCTTGAGCTGGAGGGTCTCCTCAAGCGTCACTACACCACCGTCGAGTTTTTTCAGGGTACAATGATGAATGCCGTCGACCTTGAACGAGTCAAGGTTAGAGTACAACCATAGAGCAGGCATTAGATAAAAGCACGGCCGTAATATCATTGACGCGTCTACGTGAATCAGTATTTTTTTATTTATTTAAATGTGCATAAAACAGATCTTTTTCTTCTGTAAAGACGCTGTTTCATAGTCACAGTAGGTATTTATCACTTTGGTAACTTTATCTTGTGGTTATTTTGATGCAATCATTGCTTCTCACGGTGGTGCGGAGTCGCCTCGTTCTCTTACAGTCTGAGGCGGCGTCGTACTACCACACGACTGCAAATTTTGGTAACTAGAGTTGCATGGTAAGGCCTTGACAGGCGGCGGAACTGTCAGGATTCCGTGGCCAGTATTGTTAACTGAGCGTTGATGACAGGAAACCGCCTGACCTGGAGCTCGAAGGCCTGTTCAAGAGACACTTTACCACTGTGGAATTCTTTCAAGGCACCATTATGAATCCCATCGACCTACAAAGGGTGAAAGTAAGTAGCACACACGAAGATGCGATATCTATTTGGGCGTGGTGTCGGTTTTTGAAAATGTACAGACTATTTCTATAGAGTAGAGCGATGCTCGTTCACAAACCTGTCGCGAAAAGTTGTCGGTTCAGTGTTCGGTACCCTTCTGTCGTTACTGAGCGCTGTCTGTGCCTGCCGCTACTAAGTGTTTGTGCCGGCCCGCTGGCGGCCGGGCGCGTTGTGTTCTCCCCTGGCCCTCGCCACCGGCCACCATGTGTCTGATTGGGTGTTGTTGCAATGCTGGCCCGTGTGTTACTTCGATATCGATATCTTACTGTACGTTCCGATGGCAATATGGCATTAATGGCAGCCGAAGAAAGGGTTTCAATTTCAAAATTAATATTTCATTTAGTAGTATCGAGTACAGTTATCGATTGTCGATATGTTTGGGGTAAGTTAGCATGGCTTTCTGGACTGGTAGCGCTTGTCTGCATGTGATTTATTCTCCACTTATTAATCCCACCTGCTTATTCGAAAATGAATACTACGGACCTGACATGGTAAAAAAAAATGTTAATTCAAATATAATCGATTACAAAATTAAGAAATTAAACGTGGTATTCATTTTTGTATTTCGGCTATAATTTTGCATGCCCAGTTTCATGGCTGGATACTTCTTAACTTGCTTATACCTAGCTACTACTTAGTAGTACTAGTATTAATTCATTTATTTTCTAAATGTTTTAACTAATTGATGTATTTATAAAACTTTCTGTCTGTAATTAAACTATAGTTAAAATAATATTGGCCTTCGAAAGCCTATAGTTAGCCTATAGTTAGCCGAAAGCCTTCGAAGTTCACAGTTCCATTGGTAAGTTAATCAACGCAAATTATATTTTTATTTGTTAACCGCTTTACTCAAATTACTACTGTAAAACTTAAGTATATATTTAAATGGTGTATTGAAATACACTCGACAAAAATATACAGAAAAATTTTAGCTACAAATTTTTACAATTTGCCTCATATTTGTTTCTAACTTCAAGAACCTTTTCAACTCTTTTCAAAATTTGGTCACATAAGTGCTCTGCAGCAATAAAGTTTCATAAATTATTTATTAAAAGGCTTCCTTCATTATCTTTTTTTTAAAAAGTTTACTGATGTAGGTACATGAAGCAGATGCGTGTCTGGTGCTAGCCAATAAATACTGTCAAGATCCTGATGCTGAAGACGCTGCTAACATCATGAGGGTTATTTCTATCAAGAACTATTCTGATGACATTAGAGTGATTATACAACTTATGCAATATCATAATAAGGTAATATGGTATTTCTGAATCCAAAATTCTTTACAATTATCTAAAGAATTGTTGTCATGTGGCAACTATAATAATAATTTTAACCAACCAACACATTTGCTGTGTTGCACATTTCGTTACAGAAAGGTAGAGCTAAAATTTAGCCCAGTTATGTACATACATACACTTTTTTTTTTGTGCGCAATCCCCTCGGATACCACTTACCGGTGGCAATGTCGGACTCGAACCGACTAAAACCGCACGCCCTTTCAGGTACCAGTAGTCGGGGAACCAGGTGTACCCTAGCAATCCCTGGTACTCCACAAACATACGCTCACATTTTTTTTCGAGAAAGAGGCAGATAGAAGCGTTTTATACACCTCAATTTTAGTCCCACTAATGGGCCTAGCCTATTGCCGTCAACCGGACTCACATGTTTCTAAATAAACAGTCACGTGGAATACTTATATATTTCTAAATACAAACATATTATTATAGATCAATTACACCCAGATACAGAATAAATAATCGTGCTCATGACACAATATTAGTCCAAACTTATTTTTTCTTTTTCTAAAAAGACAACTCTTGCATTAGGAATGTATCCTGTGTCGCGGGGGACTTTACAAACATACATGAAACGGGCACAAAGAACACCCAGACTCAGAACAACAATTTGTGGATCACACAAAGTATCGTCCCATTTGAGGTTTGAACCCACAACACTCGGCGTAGTAGGAAGCGGCGTGGCGACCGCCTGAACAACTACGCCATCCGTGCAGTCGTACTCATACTCATTTAAGTGATGTTGGTCAGAATAAAAAATCTGATTTGCAATTTCATTACAGGCCTATCTTTTAAACATTCCATCATGGGACTGGAAGCAAGGCGATGACGTGATCTGCTTAGCGGAACTGAAGCTTGGCTTCATCGCTCAAAGCTGTCTGGCACCTGGCTTCTCAACAATGATGGCCAATCTTTTCGCCATGAGGAGCTTTAAGACGGTCAGCTTTTTTTTAATTTAACTGTCTATTATGTATCATTGTAAAAAACTTTTAGAGATCGACTCACTGGACCACCGGAAAACTTAAAGTGTCGTTCTCTAAATGTACTTTGTCTATCTAAAATTTCTATGCGGCGTTTCCACAGTCCCAAGAAATGGCTATATGGACTAATGACTACATGCGAGGTACGGGAATGGAGATGTACACCGATGCACTAAGTCCGACGTTTATCGGGATGCCGTTCAAACAGGCCGCTGAGTAAGTGGGCAGCGAACGAGATGCTTACAATAACGTGACACGAGACCACGTCACATATAAACCTTTTATACTGTACAGGTGTTTGAGCATTCCATACTGTGGATTACAGGACATTCGTCACTAACCAAATACGAACCGCATAGCTTATCATTTTAGTGTTTTTTTCATACTGTTTTGCAAGCTTTCAGTTTGTGGTTTTGAATATCAATGTTTTTATTTCATTTCATTTTCAATAGGTGCTGTACTGAATAACTATGATCTGGTAACTTCTGAATTTAGACTAGTATCAATGTAGGGATGTGTTATACTAATTACATATAATAGCCCCGTTTGAATAAACGGCACGATAACCTCAACTGAGGTTGCTATGACTAACATAGCACGAGCTTTAGCGTCTCCTATTGGTTGATTGCAGTCCCCTGACACTCAAGCTTGGCAGAACGATTACCTGCAGGGTACTGGCTGCGAGATGTACACCGAAACACTGTCGACATCCTTCACGGGAATGAGCTTCCCTCAAGCAAGCGAGTAAGATTCCCCCTCGAATCTTAGGACCCACCTGCACCCTCCCGCACCATAGGCACTGTGTGCTAAGTTGCTAACCCTATATGAATAAGTGTTTACTGAAATTAGCCCTTTACAAGAAAAGGTTGTAAAGATTAAAAATAAACCCAATTCCAGAACAGACGCATAGTGCATGCTGAAAAGTTATAATTAGAGAACATTAGTAGTATGTAGACACATACGTTATATACTATACAACATTTCGTATTGATGGTATCAGTATTTATCAGTAATTTAGTTTTAATACTGTTCATTATTTTATTTTCGTATCAACATTCATTAAGTCATAGGAAATTCGGAACTCACGGACCTATGTTAGTACTATAATTAAAAAATTAACAAAAGTCATATTTACTGTTATTATCGGGCATTTATTCGCGGGTTTAAACAACCACTTTTCTCAAAAAGGTATAACGAAACTATTATTTTAAAGGATTGACAAAAAACATTGTAAATATGGCATCATTGCCATTGTTGTTATGCTTCCTCCTACTACCGCTTTCGTCATCTGTAGTTCACCGTTTCATTAGCATGATACACAATTTACAAAGTACGCTGTAAATGTTAGATAAAGCAAGCATGTTTATTTTGACTGTTATGAATAGCAAGGTTAAAAGCTTACCGAAATACCTGTGGGTCAACCAAAAAAGAGCTTTGACAAGGTCTATGATATAGTCCCAAATTCCACAATCTTACAACTACCTTACATCTATTACAAGCGATTTTTTTCAACGCAATGGAAATCAGTAATAAATCTACAGACTTAAAATTCTTTTCTCAGGTTATGTTTCACGAAGTTGAAACTGCTTCTCCTGGCGATAGAGATTAAGGGTGAGGAAGGCGCTGACAGCAAAATCTCTATCAACCCGAAGAACGCCAAGATCAATGCCAACACACAGGGATTCTTTATTGCTCAATCTGCAGATGAAGTGAAAAGGTATTATTATTATATTCCATGTTGTCAGATTTGACCATTTGTCACTAAGTTTTTCTATGCATGCTGCCTTTTTATTTTTTTCCTCACTTGTATTTTATTTTTCAGAGCCTGGTACTACTGCAAGGCCTGCCACGAAGATATCAAGGATGAAACCTTGATCAAGAAATGCAAATGCAAAAACTGTAAGATCATTGAATTGCTATTATTACCCACATACTCAATTATAGCGAGGACTCTTTAGAATTCTATAAAAACAAAATCTTTGAATAAAACGACTATTTAACATACTGTTCTGTGACATTCTTTCTGGAAATACTTAACTGTCTATTTGAATATTGTAACGAATATTGTCCTATATATATTTCATATAATATCACACGTACACTGTCCAAGTACAGATGTTTATCACATGTAACACTGTAGGTACTTGTGCCTTCGGGCCACTACACAAACTCGCTCGACTTTACACTGTTTACTTTCTATTTGTGAGACATTAATAAATATTGTTCGGCTAAACTTTTAGTGACCGCGCACCAGCGGAAGGTTGGAGCCGATATAGGTAACTTGCACCACACCTAACCTCACAAATTGACGTTTTCCGATATTTATTTTTCGTGTCTATAATTTTTTGAGTTGCTTTAGTGGTGTTGCGTCCGTACCTCACAGACTGGATCGGCTGCAAGGCATTATCTTGACCCGTGCTCGTTCACATCCTATAATTTAGCGATCATTGTGTATGTCCGCTCGCTCGTGAATAAAAACCACAAAATATGAAGCACTCTGACACTTCACCATTTTTCTAAGCCTTTTGAGAACTGCCGCTCTGTTTATGATTTGTATCGATATGGCGAGGATTTAGTGCATCATACAATATCGCTGAACATTTGCATATCAAATCAGGAACTGGACATAGTATCTACAACAATCACTTGTCAAAATTGTTAGGCTTATAGGCTAATAGATGCCATTCAACGGAAGTTGAACACAATTGCTATGATGCACTTCAGAGCTCAGCACAGACAGTACATTGCATGTATACATCAAATACTAAGTAGAAAATATCGCAAACAGCAAGTGCACCGTCATTATGTCCCAGAACACCTAGATAGTAATAATATTATATATATTTGAATCCACGAAAGCATGTCTCAGAAAGAGGAGTGAAAACAACAATGCGCTGATAGAAATGAGCCCCGTCAAGAGTGAGCTTTGGAGGACAAAGACTTTATACAACAGTTCCGGCTTGTCTGTGCTATGACAGTGACTAACAGCAGGGAGAAAACTAAAATACAGTCACTTTTCATTACTTTCATCAACGCTTTTGACAGAAACAAATCCTACTGCTGCAATATCTAGCTTCATTTCTACAACTTCAATTCTACCCGATTTTGAAGTTGTTTCTACTAAATTCATGTAACAGACAAATCATAAAAATAGAAGCGTACATTCGTTTTTGTCAGTGTTTGGATTTTTACAGATGTTGGAATGATGATGATGCAGACTGGAATGGTGAAACAAAGTCTTAATACGTACCGTGCTTGCCTCGATGGTACGGAAACGAAAGACAAATATTACGTATTACCGTACCTTACACACAGTATAGTATGTTTGCAACAACTAACCATGCTATGGGCGAAGGATAATGGGCTACAATATATGCTAATACACGATTAAACGATACACGCAGCTAGTATAGTGCAGCTAGGCTAAGACACTATATATTAACTACAGCCTCGCTTAATATAAGACGAAAATAGGTAGAAATGTTCAAAGTAAAAAACACTATTCACGTCTGCAACCCCAATAGGAAAGAGATTTTGATTACTACCGAACCCAAATTCCTTCTGCCCTACCAATAGTTTACAATATATTCCAATCATTGTAATTTGGGTGTTAGTAATCAGAAGTCAAATATTTGATTAATAATATCCTTCTCGAAAAGGACTACCTGCTTTGCATCTCTGTCTGCATAAATACCTATAATTTGCGTTTCTTCTGTAACACCATATTTTAAAACAGGATGTATAAATTGGTAACTAAAATGAGCTTAAAACCTATTGTTTCTCGGTTCAGTGGCTACGTTCAGGAAGGGCGTACGAGCCGTCCAGATGGTTGGCAGGGCAAGTACGTAACCTAATGTGTATAAGATTCAATGTACATGTCAATGTGATGTTTTTAAGCGAAATGTGCGAGGACGGAGAGACTCCCGCCGCCAAACGCGCCAATAGCGATATTGTGTCCTGTTTATCATTGTCTTGTCTTATCATGTTTCTATATGTGCATTTATACAGCAGTTAGATGTTTGCCTCTCTTTTAGCAGATATTTAAAAGATAAAAAGACATTATGTGATGTCCTTTATTTATTTTGGTGTTGTTGTTATTGTACTTAATTATTCCAAAAGATATAATTTTCTAGGAGTATTTTGATCCCTGATTTTCTGCATCGACATAGTCCCTCTGATATTGATGTTGTGAAGTAATAGTTTTTAAATGAAGTTAATTTGTAATTTTATTACGCTTACAAAGTTCGAAAAAGATTATTTAATGATACCCTGCATAGGGACGTTATAATTAGATGATCCCGCCTCGATAGAACCGTGAGGATTTTGCAGTCGTTGGCTGCTGCGTCAGTAACGGCCGAACGATTTGGTATATTCACCTTACTATTATCACACTCCTGTAATACTTATATTATACTCATATGAACTTTCAGTTCCTAGTACGCTCACCATATTAATCATTTCATGTATCCATATTCTCATTTCCCTTGCATTAGTGTTGATACAATTAGGAATTTTTAAACTCATAAAACTCAGATTCTAAACATAATATCTTAGCACGTAGCGCTTGTCCAGTAGTTAGATTTAATTTTTGTTTTTTGTGTGTCGTGTGTAGTTTTAATGGTTCTTGCATGAGTGGTGTAGAGATGTTAACTGTATTGTTAGATTTCTATTTGTATTTAATTATTTAGTAATTTGATTAAACATTTTATTTGTATATCGGTTTAATCTTTGGCTTACCTTGAAGCTTCTTTCGGAATGTACTGTGCTAATTTGGTGTTAATAACATATATTGTCTGTTACGTACATTCTAAAGACGTAATGCTAATTGCTTGCAACACAAACAAAGATGAAACCGATACTCTGATATATTTGAATTGATAACTGTCATGTTGGACAGACCGACCACACGCTGTACTATATAACGCGATGTGCTGTAGGTACAGTATTTACTGAGTGGAGTGGAATGCGAACTTGTGCTGATGTTTTGCAGATGATCACCATCCTCCCCCTACCTTCACGCCGCCAGAGTTGCCCAAGAAGGTCCATGTTCGAGGTACATCTCAGGCTCAAAGGGCCGAGTGTTTTTTTTTGTTTTTTCTTTAAATCATCGGCCCACTAAATCATTTGACCAGCAATGTGCTTTGTCCTAAGTGATTGAAAGGTACCGTGCACCTAGCTGCTTTGTCACGCATAATTTCATAGCGCGCACTGACAACAGGCAGAGACCTCTGGGATTATGCGCATGTCTCGCATGTACCCGGCAAGAAGTAGATCCTAGTTGCGAGAGACTTTTTTAACAGCCTCATATTAATTTCCACAGAAATTTCTAAACTAACCAAAAGTTCAGTTTAGGTTTTCTAATAACACGAAATCAAAATACCTTTTGTTTTTTACGTTATTTTGCATTCACTGCCTTACTTAATTGATAAATGAAGTTGTAAAGAATATTTTCCATCGATCTGTGCTTCTTGGTAAACTCTACAGCGGATGTATTATCATTTGTGGTTTGTACCCCTTTTGCCGAGCATTGCAAATATATCATGGCATTGCATATTTTGTACGAATGATGAGTAATACCTGTCATATTTATCATCAGAGTTGCCAATTTATGGATAATAATAAAACTACTGAAACTATTTATTAGGGGGAAATAAAATAACAAAATTTATAAGTAATTTATACTTAGCAGTTTTTAATAATGTTTAACAAAAATGTTCCCTGTATTTGTCCATAATTGGCAACACTACAGTGAATGCTATGTGGGTACCTTACGTCTATGCTTCTGTTGTAGTATTTTGAATTATAATTAAATTTTATCTACAAATCTTATCTGAAATTAAAATTAAATAATATATTTTACATACCTGTTTTTAAAACTCAAATTTGTTTTTTAAACTTAAAGTATTTTTCTTTCAATTTTGCAAGTTTGAAATACAGCAAAATGTATTTTAATGCTTCATACAGTTTTCGTAAATCGTTATTAATTGCTTTTCAGGTGAAATCGCTAGAGAAAGAGGGGAAGACACAAGTCGTAAGTATTTTAAATAATATATATTTATAATGTATGATAATACATTTTCTTATACGTATCAATTAATTCCAGAACTTAAAAAAATGTTTCTTTTTAATTTTTTTTTAAACTAATTTTATTAGTCCTTTCAGTAATAAACCGCAATCACCGAAACGCAGCACCAGCAACGCTATTATCTCCGATGGCCAACCAACTAATGAACACCACCACGACGAGACAAGTGAACAAGGTGAAACCGAACGTGAATAGAGCCCCCCCTGACACGTAAGTATTGGTATACTCATTCTAGACATAGCGTTACACTGATAAATGTTGAAGAGGTGGTACATGAACATAATAACACTGAAGAAATAAAAAAAAACAAAGTAATAAGATCATGTATCACCTTCTGTTGTTAATGCTATAATTGTAGCTTGAATTGGAGCCAAGAAATCTATGTATTAATTTTTATTTGTGTACATTTTTAATTTCGTCTTAGTTCGATTTTAGAACGTTTAAAAAATCCTCGCTGAACTGATAAATACTATTTAATTTACTCACGTAATAAGATTGAAACATAAACGTATATGCTAAGAGCCTATTCTTCTATCCTTAAATTTCTTAGTCTATCGCGGCTTGTTATCGGAATAATTTTATTATTTTCTATTTAGCACGACGTGCACAACGCACTAATGTAAACTATTTATTATCTGTACGCACTTTTTATTTCTAAAAAAAGAAACAAAAAAAAAACCTGTGTTACAGGAATCCCCAGGATCAAGATACCAATTACCAAGCCTATCATCTTGCCTACGAAGTGAAAAAACTCATGTAATTGAAAAATTATTCAGTTAGAAAATTTTATTATCAGTAGTTTGAAATTGCAATATAAATCTTATTTTACGAGTTAAGTCCGCGTTAAGTCAATGTTGCCTATATTGTCAACATTGCATAGTTTTTACTTAAACTCTGCAATTTAGACATTCGCAGACTTTTCTCGATTCAGTTCGTAGATATTAGTAGTGCTTGCCTCACTTTATGTAAATTTCAATTCAACAAGAATTTCGTTGAAACTATACTTTGTCTCGATCTCGATACTGCACGGCACACTACAGCAGCATGTTTATGTCACCTATACTTATAGCTACATACTATAATTTTATCTATTGTATGCATTTATGTAAATAGTAGTTGAGATTTGATTCCATATACAAATTGTGTAAATCACAAACAGTAGATTATTATCTCATCACCTGTAGAAGATGAACCTCTACAGTTACATTATTGTACAAATGAACTCCTTAGTTGTTTCATTTGTTTTTTACTTGATAACTAATTTAGTGACAATAAATTAGCATCACTTATAAGCAAATTACTTAGTCTGAATCAAAAAATTATCTTCTTTTTTCTTTTTTTTCGGCCTAATGCACTCTGTAGATTAAATTGAACCTCTAAACAAAAATGATAAAATAATTTATATAAACGATCAGATTTGTTGTATGGTAGATTTTTGACGACATTCTATACTAAAATCAATTGTTTGCATAGGCCAACCAGTAGAAGCAGTGGTGGTAATCAAAACAGTAACGGTGTCAGCCTACCAGCGGGCTTAGCTGATGACCAGTCGAAAGACTTTGACTTCGAAAAGACTGAAATGAAGTACGACTCTACTGGCATGTTTCATTGGAGCCCTGCCAGGAACTTGGAAGATTGTATATTAGTATGTAAAATTTTAAAATAAATATCATATGTAACAGAAACAATAAATTTTAATAAATTATATTATAATGGTAATGATAATTTATAGGACAGAAATCAAGCGGCAATGACAGTTTTGAATGGTCATGTGGTGGTGTGCCTATTTGCGGACCCAGACTCACCTTTAATTGGATTGAGGAATTTAGTTATGCCTCTCAGAGCATCTAATTTTCACTACCATGAACTAAAACATGTAGTCATTGTGGGTAGCGTCGACTATATTCGAAGAGAATGGAAAATGTTGCAGAATCTACCAAAGATTTCTGTATTGAATGTAAGCCCTATTTAAATTTTCTTCACATCTTATCATTACTAAACATACAAATAACATATATTTTAACTACCAGTTAAAGCTATCATTTCGAACCCCCTTAAAGGCGCAAACTTAAAATATGCTGCGTAATATATTATTAGATGCAGCAGCATTACAATTAAATTTTGTACATTATACATTTTCTATATTTATCATTATTAACATTGAACAAAAAACTTTTTAATGAATAAAAAGTTCATAACTGACCAAATTAGATCGTATGATTCGGATGATGATGATCGGATTATATAAGAAACTGGAACACAACGGCAGTCAGATCCATATCAATCATGGGGTTCCTAAAAGTATCCTAGTAATATTGATTTAGAAAAATAACATAGTTAATGATTATTGACCTGACTGCCCCGGTGGTGCAGGGTGTAGGTAGCGTACGCGACTGCTGTGCTGACGTCTCGGGTTCGATTCCCGGTTCTGACCAAATCTTTGTATTATCTATAAGTATTTGTTTCATAGTTTGGGATTTTTCTATGTATAATATGTATGTATTTACAAAAAAAAGTATGTGAGAATTCTATCCGTCAATCTAGCTTTCATAGTACAAGCTCTTAGTTTGAAACTAGGTGGCGTTGTGTGTTAGATGTTTAAATGTCCGAAATATCTATTTATTTATTATTTTCAGGGTTCACCGCTAAGCCGGGCCGACTTGCGTGCAGTGAATGTAAACTTGTGTGACATGTGCTGTATCCTATCAGCGAAGGTGCCATCGAACGATGACCCGACGTTGGCAGACAAGGAAGCTATTCTGGCTTCGTTGAACATCAAGGCGATGACGTTCGACGACACGATAGGGGTGCTGAGTGCTGGAGTCGGTACGAATGGTGGTAGCAATGCGCCGCCGCCGCCCGGGCAGCCGCATGCGCCCGTGCTGCTTCAGAGGAGAGGATCTGTGTATGGTGCCAATGTGCCTATGATTACTGGTAGGTTAATGCTTAAAATAAGATTTAAGTTAAGAATTGCATCATAAAGTACCTTACTGGACTGGATGTTATCTATCACTTGTATATAATAAAAAGTTATTAACATTGAAATAATGCTTGAAGTATGAACACCTACTTTGTTAAACCACGAGCCACATAAAATGTATGTATAATATAGAATGTTAGGATTTCAAATGACACAACTGATAAAGACCCAGTTGGAAGACTAGAGATCGCTGTTAATAGATATAAGAAATAAATAATTACCAGCTGTCCATTTGCAGAGCTGGTAAACGATAGCAACGTACAGTTCCTGGATCAAGATGACGACGACGACCCTGATACGGAGCTGTATCTGACACAACCGTTTGCGTGCGGTACAGCTTTCGCTGTCAGTGTGCTCGACTCTCTTATGTCCACCGTAAGTCTACCTTAAGAAAATCATCAAACATTAAAACAACCGTTGAAATCTTGATACACCGCTTCAAATTTGTTGTTATTTATTTTTGTAAAACCAGGTATTAAAAGTAACTAATTTGACTATAGCAGAGTTCGACATAATAATTGTTCTATGACGTCATATAGTTTTACAGATACTACCATTTTAACGTTTAATAAAAAGTAACCGAGTTTGACAGTCAACCAACATATTTTAATTGAAGCAAATTTTAATTACGTTATACACCCTTACTTCTTCGTTCCAGACTTATTTCAACCAAAATGCCTTAACGCTAATTCGGTCGCTGATTACGGGCGGCGCCACTCCAGAGTTAGAGCTAATCCTCGCTGAGGGAGCTGGACTACGAGGAGGATACTCCACGTCTGAGAGTTTAGCAAATAGGTAAGACTACGCAGTATTTGCTTGCTTTGAAATGTGTGCTATAAGTTAATTTACATTTCACAATACACTGACTTGCAACATAGCGCTGGACAATGGCAAATCAGAAACAACCAATCGCAAATTAGAAACAACCAAACACAAACGGGCTCACCCAAAGCCGCAAAACTAGGCTTTTTAAAAAGTTGTTTTAAGTTTAATATTTAATTCTAGTTATTTTCATCATCAGACTCGTAAGTATTGTTAGGTATTGAGTCTGAGAGAGATGTTAATTTAATCGTTTTTTTTTTGTACAGGGATCGATGTAGAGTAGGTCAAATCTCCCTATACGACGGTCCGTTAGCACAGTTCGGCGAGACCGGCAAGTACGGAGACCTATTCGTGGCCGCTCTCAGTACGTACGGGATGCTGTGCATCGGCCTCTACCGGTTTCGTGACACGTCGTCTTCGTGCGATGCAAGCAGCAAGCGATACGTTATCACGAATCCTCCCGATGATTTCTCTTTACTTCCTACTGATCAGGTAACATATTCATCAGTACTTCAGGTCTCTCTTTATTTTACTCAAAATGTAATGGTTGTTTGATGTACGCGCAGGTGTTCGTCCTAATGCAGTTCGACCCTGGCATGGAGTACCGGTCGAGCCGGCGCGCGGGCTCGGCGACCGGCAGCGGCGGCAAGGACGACGCCTCCTGACTATTGCTGTGCAGCGCCCTCACAGACGGACCCTACTCCTACATATAGATTGTAGGGCCCGTCGCCAAGCACACCACTCCGACAATCCTTCCATACGTCCCGTTCTGGAGAATTTTACCGGCATCACTCCCTACTCAAAAGATTAACGTCCACCACGATTATTTATATCCTTTAATATGTATTGAATTAAATATAACGACGGGAGTGCTGCTACATTCACTATCTTCTTTTCTTTTCATTTTGGCAACTAAGTATACAAATTAGAATTATTTCAATACTTCCTATGCACAGCGATCAACACTTCCCATGCACTTTTGGATATTTAGAATTTGTTTTTGCAGCAATAAACTACGAACACCTTAGAGTACTGTACTGAGAAACTGTCCAACAGAGACTGATCGCGCAGTATCAATTTAAAATTATGATTGGACTAAAACATAGAGAAAGCCAAACCATAGGAGATAACACAAAGTTTCAACAATATATATGCTGATGATGATAACAACTGTTAAGAAGCCTTTAAATAGGTAAATATTAAAGCTTTCGATGTTTAGGATAACAGTACATGACAAATTTAATTCATTTTCATGTTAATTTTTTAAATTTTAAAGAGATAAACGTAAGTAATAAAAAAAAGAGAACAGAATTGGCTTTTGAAATGTTGAACCATACAACATGCATTTATTTTGTCTGTGAAATAACGTTATTATGAATACTTTATTCAAGCATAAATATCATAAAACAGAAAAAAACGTTCTACTAAAGTTATCGCATTTTAAGCAAGCCTCTAACAAATGCGAAATGATGTCAATGATGTCGATTTCTTTATTTTATTAATAAAGAAATCAACATCATATTTGACTACGCTTGAAAGTACCCACTTATCACGGCAAATAGACACTGCACGCTTCTTGGACACTAATGATAAATTTCAATATTGAACTACTTAATTTAAAATGTTACTATAGTGGTGGTGGTTTTTTTAGTTCATAGGTTCTTCATATTAATGGTGTTGGAAATTTACATGGACACATGCATAACACACTTACAGCTGAGTCCTGTCAAATCTCTTTCTTTTCCTGCAATAGTAAGAGTAGTTCGTCATGTGTACCCTACAGAAACCCTCACTTTTCCTAATAAAAGACGGATTGTGTTATGTATGACAGACAACTGTATCCTTAACTTTTTACTAAGTGAAGTGCCTATTGATAACGTTCATAAGAACGTTTGTGTAAATTTATTTAAATTTTCGCGCCGAATCTTTGACAGATCACACTGATATGTCTATCGTTTATGACGTCTTCAGAGTCTTGAATTTCAATTTTATCTATTCTTTCAAGGTCTCTATTTTAATTTGTAAGTAAAGCTCAATGAGACAGGAACCTTTAAACTTTTAATTGCATAACAGTTTAATGTGTAAATGGACCTTAGGCATAGGCTATCGCTTTTCTTAGAATATCCATTCCTTATTCAGTAGTTTTTCTCTCACTTTTCACGTAATTAAGGCGCTATTTTTAATGCTGAAATTTAGACATACTTTAAGCATTTAATTTTATTCATCGACTGATTTTTAAGCACATCATATTATCGTCGTTAATTTGTGATTATACAACTTTATGTTTATTTTATGGGTTATCAATAAACTCGTTAGGTATTTAGTTTTTAAGACACTCTGCCATATAAAATATATATATATTGCACGTATGGTACTAGTCTGCATACAGTTCCATTGCTCACTTTTTTATTATTTTTTATATTATAAGGTTAGATACTCAATAGAGGAATATTTTTATGCAGAAACGTAAAAACTTCCTTTCTGAAAAAAAATTTCAAAGGAAACCTCTCTAGACGCGATTTCATCTACGATTCTGTATAAAAGTATAGGTATATTGTTAGAGACATCAGCCTCACCATGTATTACCACTTTTTGTTTATTTTTTATTTAATAAAATTTATATGCTATATTTTATTTTCTTTATTTCTGTTATTCCCAATTTTTTCTGGGGGATTGTCAAAGTGGACGTGATATATGGCGCTGCACACGGAAATACCAATGAACTATGATTAAATTATATTTTAAAAAATTGCCATTGCGAGTTTAGTTTGAACTATATAAAGATGGTTTTTGGTTGCAAGGGACACCGAGTGCGAAGTGTAATTTTGCTGTAAATGTGTGATATTATTTTCAAATCGTTGTTAAAATAGTTAGGGCTTCTAAAGCCTGCAATGTATTTAGTGTTAACTCCGGGTGCTTTGACGATTGTGGACTCTGATAGTTTACTGTTGATTGTAATAGATAAGTGACTTCAACTGGCTGCACAAGATCTCTCGCGTTCTAATCCAGTTCAAACACACATACGAAGTGCAGTTGGTTGAAGGTTCTTTTTTAGAATTTATTAGGTATTAGTTTACATTCGCCCCACCAATAAGTATCATACAGTACATTGGATAGAATAAAACATAATGCAATAATTATTACTAAAATACAAGATGTTTGATGAATATTATAGAACGAGTCCCCACGAAGTCCGCTAAGCGTCGAACTCACGCAACAGCACTAATTTGTTTTATATAAATATCACTTAATTAATGAATACCTCAAATTTACTGATAGTGAGTAATATTTGAAAGCATTTAAAGTTTTATCAAACATCCTGTACATAGATATCTAATCATGATCACATAGAAGTCATTTTATTCGAATAGAATAGGCAAAACCGGCCTTAATTACAAATAGGTTATTGTATCATTTTTCACGAATATTCGAATGTGCGGTCTTGTGAATATGCCACAGTATGCGGTCTAACAATATTTAAATATGTGTGTCAGTCAAAGTCCAATAATCAACCTGACGTCATTTCAGTTCTTTAACAGAATATCACCTACGTTCGTAAAGGAATTGAATGCAAACGTACTGCCATATTTTTCGAAAAGTCACTGCATTATCCATAGATAAAAATATCGAAATGATATAGTACAAAGATCAGTCCTGAAATAAATTATAAAAAATAAATTTTATTTTTTCTGCGTACTTACCTAAATTCTACACATTAGCAGAAATACGTACGCACACGTATAACTGTACTCTGACAAATACTATCCACCATGATTAATGTGATTAATGGGATAAAATTACCACCGGATGTAAAGACATATAAAGTTACGAGATGGTTGTGCACAATAGAATATTATTTATGTAATTGTAACTAATCGGTCTGTCCAAAAATATTTAATTATTAAAATCATATTGGCTTATTCGGTGTAGGGTCTGCCATTGAAGGGGCAAGTTGAGCGACTATACGATGACCTCACACAGCCGAATATAGTGGAGTAGTTGTAATTTGAGCTTGATATATCGGTAAGTAGTGACCTATGCATGGAGCTCTAGCCAAAATAGGTACCTAATATTTAGTGTACCACCATGAGATGCATTCGACACTCAATTTTTAAATTTTTTAGCTAGAATGTAAATAGTCAAATGTAATTTTGTATGTTACCTAAGAATTTTTCAATATACGTCTCCTTTGCATTAAAATAGAAGGCTACGGTTACATTAAAAATAATTATATTCAATACTATCGTGTGTAGTTTGTTGTGAATTAGGCTTCGATGTCACTATGCTAGATAGGGTAGAGTTGGGATGTTTCATTGTAAAAATGTAAAATACACGCTATTGATTTGGTATTAAATTATGAATGTTAAATAAGTATTAATATTAAAATGACAATTTTTCTTTAATATTTTTATACAGCATTACAATATATTTATCGCAATTAAAAGTTTATAGAGGTGGGTCAGTGTGCAATTTAAAAATGAAAAATAGTGTTTAAAAATGTATTATCGCCTTAATGAGAGAGAATATAGCTGAGTCCTTTTGTGTGTTTGCTTGACGTGAAATGTTACCATTTATTGTTTAAAGCAATGTGTGTGTACCGTATGTATGTTACACGACTTGTTACTAGGTGATAACTAGTGGTCGATTTAAAAATAAGGTAAGCGCGCACACCCTACGATTTCATTATAATCGAAAACGTCTTATTAGGTATTTAAAACACGAAGTAACTTAATGCGTGGACTGTTCTATCACTTCAATCAAATATATGAATTAAATTATTTAATTAATTCATTGATTAGGTACTATGCACACACATTTCATAATACTGCTAAAAAATATCTATTTGTTCGTTTCCACTTTTCTTCAGCAAGAAAATGTAAACAAACGAGTTACAGAAAAAAAAATGTCAAATCTGTGAATTGGAACTTATCGTGATACTAAATATATCCGAGGCCACATCGATACGAGGGGGGCGAGGAAGTAAATTATTATAAACGAGATGTTTACCATGTTTATGTTCGAGAATTAATTTCCGATATTTCAGCACCGTTGCAAGCAATATGAACACAGATGACTGCACGGATGGCGTAGTGTTTTAAGCGGTCGCCACGCCGCTTCCTACTGCGCCGAGTATTGTGGGTTCAAACCCCACATGGGACGACACTTTTTGTGATCCACAAATCGTTGTTCTGAGTCTGGGTGTTCTTTGTGTCCGTTTCATGTATGTTTGTGAAGTCCTCCGCGACACAGGATATATTCCTAATGCGGGAGTTGTCTTTTTAAAAAAGAAAAAAAAAAAAAAAAAAAAGCGATGAACTGTTCATCCATGATCATTTCACGGGTTTTTTTTCAAATATCCCGTTTATAATAAATTATCAAGTGATAGTTTTAGACCATGGTAGTTTTAATCAATACACAAGGGAGTAATCAAAAAATTTAAGTACCGACTTAAAACGATTAAAGATTTTTGTCTTATGGCACGTTTGATGAGACTTTTATGTTTTAGTATGACGCACAGAGATAGAGAACTAATGTGACCATGTTATACCAAGAAATAAATAATCGTACGACAGCGATAACGATTCTTATTCTCTTTTTATTAAATATAACATACTACTAACAGTTGAATAGCATCAAGTGATTAAACTTTCCTTCATTTGTATCA